TTTAGGAATCACGATTTCTTAATTTTAAGAATCACGATTCCAGCAACCACCGAAACAAGTAGGATCATGTGTGATTCCATATAGGTATAAAACGCGATTCCAACATGAAGGGACATCGATTCTTGCAAATAGGAAACACGATCCCTAATTTTTTGAATCGCGATTCCAAAATAGTGAGAATCATTTTTCTCAAATCCGAATCGTACGGACAGCGATTCCTATATTCCGAAACTTCTGATACCATGATTCCGATTCCAGAGACGATTTGAAATCACAAATGTTTCCAGCAACTATAGTCCATACACACCTCGACAGTTTTTGAAGTACCCGAGTTCTCTTATTGGGAATGAACGTTCCAAAAAATTTCTGATTTGAAGCAGTTTCTCTATTACACTTTTAATAAACTGCATGCCCTCTCATGTTCTTGAGGGAGATTTCCCATTTAAATTGTTCATCCCAACTCACCCATGGTGCTTGTACCTCTCAAGGTGTGGTTGTGTATGTTTGCCCACATCATTGGTCCAAAGAAGGACAAGCTTGATGCTAAAACTGTCAAATGTATTTATCTGGGGTATCCATCTCATCAAAAGGGGTACGTGTGTTATTATCCTATTAACAAGGTCCATTATGCCTCCATGAATGTCACTTTCTTTGAATATACTCCATACTTCTCTACTGGTCATGAGTGCTCTCTTCAGGGGGAGAGTAAGTTACAGTTTAGTGAAGAGACAACATCAATTGTTCCCCTTACTATTCCCACACTACTTTTATCTAAAGAGAGCGATTTATCTGAAAAGAATGGTGTGCATTCAAAGAATGAGTTAAAGACATATACTAGGAGGAAGAAAATGGTAGAACCTGAAGTTCCATGCGACCATACCTCGAATGCTAACCCGGAATCAGAAACTGTTCCTAACCCAAGTATCTCTTTCACCCTCTCAAAGAATCTTAATTTGGATTTACCTATTGCTATTTGCAAGGGTACACATTCTTGCACTCAGCATCCAATAACAAACTTCATATCGTGCAATGTTGTGTCTCCCTCTCACTGTGCCTTCATATCTGCTTTGTCTTCTGTTAGAACACCTTCCAGTGTTGCAGAAGCACTTACATAACCTCAATGAAAAGCTGGGATGGGTGACGAGATGCGAGCACATGAGCAACATAATACACGGGAAATCACTAACCTTCCTTAAGGGAAGATGGAAGAAGGTCGTAGAATGTCGAAAGATATTCATTGTAAAATACAAAGCCGATGGTACCATTGAAAGGTACAAATCAAGATTGGTTGCAAAATGTTTCACCTAAAAACCTGCTAGAGACTATCAAGAGACTTTCACGCTAGTGGCAAAGTTGAACATTAGTGCAAATAAATAGTGACCACTCGATCAACTAGATGTTAAAAATGCATTCCTACATGGAGTCATCCAAGAAAAAATCTATATGGCCATGCCTCATGGTTTTCAGAATACGGGGGAGACAAGAAATGTTTGCAAGTTAAAGAAGGCAATCTACGGACTTAAACAGTCTCCTAGAGCATGGTTTAAAAAATTCAGTGAGGCACTATTGAAATTTGGATTCAGAAGGAGTCAAGTTGATCATACACTCTTTGTGAAGAAGGATACCGTTGGAATTACAGCCCTTATTGTATATGTTGATGGTATTGTTGTGATAGGGGATAATGTGAAGGGAATTGAGGATCTTAAATCTTATTTTAGAAAAGTGTTTGATATCAAAGATTTAGGACCCTTTAAGTATTGCTGAAGTGGCAAGATCAAAGAAAGGGATAGTCATCTCCCAGAGAAAATCTTGTAACAACAAACGGTGGATGTTGGGATCTAGACCTGCAATACTCCTATGGAAGTCAATCATGAACTTCATGGATAAAGGGGAGAGATACTAAAAGATCCTAATCAGTACCAACAAATAGTAGGCAATCTTATATATCTCATAATCACTCGACCAAACATTTCTTGTTTGATCACGATAAATTGCACGATATGAAGTTTGTTATTGGATGCTGAGATATCTCATAATATCTCATAATCACTCGTGATCAGACAATTTATGCATGCACCACGGAAACCACACCTTAATGTTGTTACAAATATTAAGATATCTCAAGTCAGCACCAGGGAAAGGGATACTTTTATCAAACATTTCTTATGCGATTATCGTGGTCAGACAATTTATGCATGCACCACGTAAACCCCACCTTGATGTTGCGTACAAATATTAAGATATCTCAAGTTGCACCACAGAAAGGAATACTTTTCTCAAATCAATGAGAGATTGATGTTGCATTTTACATAGATGTAGATTGGGTTGGTTGCCAAACTGATAGAAGATCCACAACTAGCTATGGGACCTTCGTTTTGGGAAAACTAGTTACTTAGAAAAGCAAGAAAAAAAATGTGGTAGAAAGATCAAGTACTGAAGCAGAATACATAGAAATGGCTCATGGTACCTGCCTAGTAATATGGATCCAAAGTGTTATTTTCCATTTGGGTGTTAAGAGTTAAGCTTCCCATGACTCTATGTTGTGACAATGAAGCAGTCATCCATATCACAGGAAATTACGTTTTTCATGAAATAACTAAACACATTGAAGTAGATTATCAATTTATCAGAGAGAAGGTTGCTGCCAAGATCATTCAGACTCCTCATGTAAAGTCTACAGATTGCATGATTGATATCTATGCACCAGCTTGAGGGGGAGTGATGGAAATAAAAGGAATAAGCTTTATTGTATTTGATGGACAGAACTATCATTTACCTTTTGTTTAGTCTTTATTTGTCTTATGTCACTATATAAGGGCAATATTGTCCATAAGTTATAATTGGGCTTATTACTTAATGTTATAGGAGGGGTAGAAGTCACAAGTGACCCCTAAGCCACTAACTTTCCCTCTCTCTCTCTC